AGCACCAAGGGGAAAATGATCCACGTGACGGGTAGTGTTCATGAAGGATTTACCTTCGAGATCAGAAGAAATTATGACTACTCCAAGTCGCGTGAAAGGCCTCGTCCGCCCATTGAGATTGGGCTTATGTCTTCAGAGTATGTCGTCGACACACCAGGAGATGGCACATACACTAGCGACTCTGTACCCCAAGACGCCTTTGAAGCCATGTTACATTCAATTCCTGCACCGGACAAGAGTCTTAGGTCGACTAGCAATTCTGTTAGTTTGGCGCTCCTGTATATTCAATTTATCACTAACACTTGACAATCAATTAGTCATCCTCTGGGAAACGAACCCGAGTCGAGCTTTCAGACTGTCAGTGGTGGCTCGTACAATGTGTGAAGGAATTGGCCGGGTCGGGTTACTTGATTGCACCGACTCGTGGCCCCAACAAGAACATGAACCCAGTTGATATAATTAATAGTGCACCGAGACATTAGGGATGTACCGGTGCAATAGTCGGGTGGCATTTATGTATTGTTCAGAGCATTGTGATGCGCAATTGGATATTTGGTTGTTCTTAGTATTTATCAAGTTCGGTATACGTCCTTTAGTGTCGTGGTAGTTCTTCAACTATGTTCCTCGGATCTCTAGGCCCTTGTGTTGTTTCCCCAGGTAAGAGCATACCAGCCTCGACTAAATGTTCTACCACTTTTATGATCCACCATTGACAATCCTTCACCTCGGTCTTCTTAGGTGGCGGTTGTGACCCATTACCCGTGCTTTTCGAGTTGACCTTGTTGAGACTCGGCCCAGGTGGCTTCACCTGTTGACATACTTTGTCAAATACATTATAGAATTCGACTTTGTCGTCAATATTAGTTAACATAACTTTGTCTTGCACTTTGGATTCAAGTAGAGTGCTTGATATAAGCCCGATAGTGAACACCTTTGGCTTCCTCTCATCTTCCTGAATATTATAGTCTTGTATATACTCGTACTCGAACCCATTGAGTCGATCTCCTGTCACATGAATGCGATGACCAATGTGCGATTCATGGCCGCTTGCATCAGTGTGGGCAAGCCAGAGTGACCAATGTGCGGCAAAGAGAGGTGAGGGATAGACTAGAACGTAGAGAGGTTGGGTCATGGTTGCTGCAATACGGCGTGTAATGTTTAGTTGACTTGATGAGTAACCATGTAGAACACGAGGGACTTGGGAAGAAATGTCTGAGGAAGGCGGGGTAGAGGCAAGAAAGTGCTAAAACTCCTTTTTTACATAATGGAAATACATATCGTCTAAGTACCCTCCCCACCACTAATTGCTTATTGTTGACCATTCACTGGTCTGGCAGTGATTTGGCAGCCTCAGGGCCTTAGGCCCCTAGATTAGGCTGGTTAGATAGCGCAGTCGGTGGCCACTCAGCAATCACTACCACAACACAATCGATCACCTTTTGCCTCAACACTTATTATAAAGGGATAGAGTGATAGTCACCATGCAAGCTAATCGTGCTATAAATATATATGATTCTTGCTACCTTAGGCAGTACAGGTTGGGTATGATCATTGGTCCCTGGAATTCCGGCAACAATATTCAAGGTCTCACATCCTTACCCATCTAAAAAAGGAGAGACTAAGGTTGCTCAGGCCTTATATTCTACACATTTCGGGAGGGATTATGCTTAGTTAGTACTTGAACATCATGGGCATTAGCCTCTGTAAACGGCGGGATGCTCAGGCTGTTTCATCGGCTCAGTCTCGGCTCATCTCAGCTCAGGATAAAGTAGCAGGCGACTCAGATCCAAAGGCAGAAGTGGAACTTGGAGCGATGCATTTTCGTCGCAGAATCTTAAGGAAGTCCCTGTGTCGATTTTCCTCCTTCAAATCGCCTTCCGAATCCCCATGTCGGAACCCACGACTCTAGCTCATCGCATCCAATTTCGAATGGTGTCATCTCAAACCACTGCCACCAGGCGTCAGATTCCGAGTGCTCCTTGTCATCAACTTTGTCTGTCTCGAACGGGTGTTCTTTGTCAGTCCAGTCTTTCCATGGCCGCTCATGTCGAACTGCTGTGAATATCGGCAAGGGTTCAGCTGCGTCCGCAATATGTTGCTTAATGTTCGTGAATTTGAACCACTCTGGCTTGAAACCGAAGAAATCTAGCTCGAATGTATTGCTAGCTTCACGCTCTTCGTTGCGTAGGAATATGTGTCCGGTCGTAAGAACGGAGTAGTAGTCCATCGGCACAACATGTAAGCCAGACTCAGATTTGATTTCTAGAGGACCCAGGAGCAGGTTCATTCCTCCGGGTGCGGACAAGACCGCTCTAATAGCGTCGTCCGAAAGAGGATGGTGTGGAAAAAATCTCCTCTTGCAATGTTCGATGACTTTGTCGAAACTCAGGTCTCCGAAGGTGTAGTATGAAGCAATAGACCAGCAGGAGCCAGATACTCCAGAGACATACATCAGGAGGTCCCATAAGCCACTCCTTTTCATTTCTGCAGAATAAGCAAGAAGCCCTGACATGGCTCGATAGCCTCCGCCACTACCGCCGAGGGCAATGGTGGGAATATCTTCAGGATGGACTAAGGTTGGATCTAGGCCAAGGTATTGGGCGAAATGGCATACCACCTTGGCCTTTCGCCTAGCGACAAATGCAGCCTCTTCATCGTATAACCCGAGACCTGTCCTCACCTCTGCAACCTTGAGGATTTCAGGATACTTATCAACGTCCTTCATTTCTGCTTTTGCATGATCATCTGTCTTGAAGTAGTTTTTGATTATGCGCAAATCACCTTTGGCTCGGGGTGATACCGGATTCATTTTGTGGAGGAAGTGCCGAAAACCAGTCTTTGGGTCCTGTTCCATCCCATCCTCCTCATCGTGGTATCCTACCATATCTATGTTGGCTTTCTCTGAAGTCATGATTTATATGGCGTAACAAAATGCAGCTAGTAGTGTCGCGGCGGTCTGCTGTTCCGTCACGTATAACGGATCTGGTAATTAGGTGAGATTTCTTACGAGTCTCCTACCACACAAGCTTGAAAGAAGTTCACATGACGATGGCTTATTCCCTGCAAGCATGCGTAAACGTTTGTACTCATTCGTCCCATTCTGGCCGATTTTGGCTGTTCAAGTGAACCTCGTGCTCATCTATTCCACACTCATTGGTCGGGCTTAGTGTGTGCTGATGTCGGCATTCAGGTTATAGCTGCTTGCTTGTTTCTTGAACGAGATACTGCAGTTCTGAAATATGCACTAAGGGGGCGCTCCAACGAAATCGATTGCTGTTCATACGTGCGCTGTGAACTTGTTGCATGTCCCAAAAGTTGCCGTCTCTCACTCCAGCCACTCACTCAACTCGTCGCCACTTTACTCAGTCGCTAATCAGTCACTACTCAGGCACTCCTCGGGACAACCAGATCAGGCTGTGAGGGAATCAACCCGGGGCGCACCTGCACTGCCGTAACCAATCACATATTTGTATTACACTGGTGGCAGCAAAAGGCGTGTTCCATTTCGGCAAGGACTCGAAATGTTAATCTGTACATCTAGGCGTGTAGGGCTCCCTTGTGCATTCGGTGTCGTTATTGACCGAATTGCTGATCCTTCTAGCTTTGCTCGGTTGAATCTGCCGTGCAACGCTTTTAATATGCCCAACGACCACCCAGCAACCAGCAACCCGGGCTTGCTTGAGTATTGCATCACCTCAACATGTCGCCTATTGATCCTTCTCCGACAAGACAATTGATACAAAGAAATTTACTGGAACAGAGCTCTCTCACAAGCCAACGTTCAGAGAGCTCTCCAGATGGCAAATGCTGCTCTGAGATATATAAGTTATATGCCTATCATTCGAGCCGATCGTGCGAGAGGTAGATATTTCCATGTCTTTTTCCGTGAGGCTGATAGATCTCTTGGTGATCCTCCGATGGTCAGATTGAAGTGTAGAAAGTGTGGCTGGCTCAAAGTCGACAACAAAACATACGTCTTGGTTCAAACAGGCGCATACCTCGCTCAGCGACATCATTGCGACCAATGCGGAGGGGATGAGAAATCTGAACTGGCACACTTTGACATCGTCGAAAAGGATCTCCGCGTTACCTCACGCCAAGATTTTGATAACACAAAAGACAAGTCTATCTTCCTTCCAAAAGCAGATAGCCATGAATGAACACCATAGGCACCAAATTATTTCAACAGTATGTAGCCATCATTGCAATAGCGCAAACTTCAGTTTCAGCCATAGCTGAGTATTCTGTACCGGCAACCCGTTGCTCGAGATCTTAGTTTAATAGGGGGAGAAGGAACGTTGGTGTCTGACTTGGGGGTTAGGAGATTCAGGGTATAGCCTCAGCTTCCCGTCGGTGTTGACGCTATATATCTATTAGATAGTAGTAGATAGATCAAAATTATCTCTATATAGTTATTTCTATTTTTAGTAGATAGCAACTTTAGCTGGGCTAGCCAAAATGGAGGCTCTGATCTACGCCTGAGGCGGATGCCGGCTCACCCTACGCTCAGGTTAAGCAGCACCAGCTTAGGTCAATGCTACGACAAAGGCAAATGCTCAGGGTAACTTTCGGGAAACGCATATGTCTTTTTTTTTATTTTTTTATTTTTTTTTTTGACCAGATTAGCTCAGATCACTCTGTCCAATACACCATAAGATACACAATAAGACATGATACCATTGTCTCCCTTCACAGCAATCAATTTAACACAATAAAATGTTCTCAATCAATAGTCCTCTTTCTGATGCCTAGTAATCACTTGTATTGACAGGACCAACTATAGGTCTGTTGTAATGTGAGATTTTGTGTCCCTGTAGGAACACAATGGCTGGTTTCGTCTTTTACAGAAAATACCAAAGAGCTCAAGACCAGTTTGACCAGATATAGCTACAAGCACCGTATAAACCCATTTCCCCCCTCGCCCGTTGGCCGAAGTTAGAAAAGTCAGGACTATGGCAGTCACACCCAGACCAGCCGGCCTCATGCCCGGCCATTCTGCACTATCTGCTATCTTGCTGAAGCTGTAGAAGACGTATCCCAACTTCCTCGAATTCCTTGCGAAACTGCAATTTCTCCAACCATCGCTCGGGAATGTTTTCTATTCCGTCTCTTGCACCAAGTAGGCCCCCTGCAATAGCCCCGTGTGTATCACTATCTCCTCCAAGTCGGACCACATCAACTAGTATATCTTCAAAAGATCGCGGATCCAGCAGTGCAGCAATCGAGAGCTTTAGGCTGTTGAGCACGTAGCCAGACACGCTGACCGTTGTGCCTCGGAACCCTCCGCTAGCGATCTTAGCCAAAGGGAGCGTTTCGCCCTCCTTGATAGCATCTGCAGCCTCTGCGCAGTCCAGGTTGTTTGCTACCGTCTTGCCAATATCTACAGCTTCTTGCGGTGTCTTGCCGTTGACGAGAGCAGCAACGATCTCATTGTATGCGGCACAAGCGATTGTGCATCTCGGGTCGTTGTGAGTGAACTCGCTGATAGCAATTGACTCGGTTTGTCTTCTCTCGTCTGATGCAAAAAGCCCAGTAGGAATACAGCGCATTAGGCTCCCATTTCCCGCATTGCCGACCCCTACGCCAGACTTCGCTGGGTTCTTAAGCCTCTTATACTGCTGTAAGCCGACCCTCGTGGCGTTCCCGATGTCAATTGGACGTGAACCTTTCCTGCGACCTGGCCACTCGCCCTCGTTCCATTTGAGCGCATATTCAGCTGCTGCCTTGGCGATATTGAAACCTTCCCCTAACTGGCTGCTCCCGGAGTGCTTGTTTTCCTCGTAGTCTCGGTAGGCTAGGAGGACTGCCCGGGTGAGATCGGTGTCATCTGTTGCTTGACCGATGGGCCAGTTGAAGGAGCCGCCCCCGACGATTTCTCGTAAGCCATTGGGATATTGCCTGATAATCTGCGACCACGGCTTGAACTCAAAAGTGGCACCTAGTGAGTCACCACAATGGACGCCCAAAAGGGCTCCAAGCGTTCTTGAGATGCGCAGATCGTTTGAAGAAGCCATCGATTATCTTATAAAAGATAGGCGTTGACCAGTGAGAGGATGCTGCTTCCACAAAGCCGATAGAGGGAAGGTTGCCGTTCAAGTGCAGATGCCACCATAATCACATTATGTTCAGCTGCAGCGCCACAGTAGTCGGAAACCTGCAGTCAGCAATGTTAACAAGGCAGCATACTTAGGCAGTTCAGAAATCAGAGGTGGCTTTAGCGCTCTGTCCACCCCACCTAGCTGTAGAGCTGACGCGAGACAATTTTACGAATCAGCCTGACTAGTCTCAAGCGACTCCGACCAGTGAACGAGTTGGTAATTGGCCAATACTTAGATAGGCTCTCATACGAGATAGTTGAGGCCTTAAACATTACTTTTTTACCTTGGCAAAGGCTTTGCAGAGTCAATGATCTTACAATATATTAGTACAGGATATAAGCATGGTGATGACTAGTTGTTCACGAAAACTCTAGATGACCACTTAAAAGAATGATATACGATCGCCTCCGAGGAGCAAGAGCAGAAGCCAAGGCATAACCCGGTCTCATAGTCATCACCCCGGCTCATACTCATTAGTAATTAGCAGTGAGCAGAGTCCGGACGTAAATCTGGAAATGGGGCATCTGAAGTAAGAGATAGAGACGTGTTTTTCTCTGTGCGGATCAATCGTGTTATCTAGATCTCCTGTTCGAAATGCTAGCTCTGTGGCAAATATACGGCTAAATACAGTCGCTATTAATCATCCTTAAGCTAGCTCAAGTCTTTGTAATGTGCTAATGATACTCCCAACCAGCAGATTTGAATTGCTCAAGTGAACTTCATGGCAAGCATCTAGATACTCAATGTGTGCTCCTATCATCCCCGCCGTCATTGTTTGAGCCTCGGGCGGCATTGCCCGATCTCTTTGAGTAATCAAACAGGTTGAAGGCACGGATCTCCAAGCACAGTTTTTGATTTCATACTCTAGGACTTTCGCAGGATGCGGTATAGTCTTAGCGATCCATTTGTCTTGATCTTTATCTAAGTCGTGAAAAAGATTCTCTCGTGGATGCCGATAATAAGATCTTCCATCAGGCTATAGACGATTAGTCTGGAGAGCACTGCCTCAATCGCTGGATTCCTCTCACCTTGTTGTCACTGTTTGGTGGACACACTCCCCCATTCACTCCCAGGACTGACAGCTTCTCGGGAAGAGTCACACTGGCGAAGAAGATAAGGTGAGCGACACCCCCCCGAAGACCATTCTTGGTTCGTTCTGAGATGCTCATTTCTGCCGTGATGGCTTCGCTACCAAGCATGCCCCCGTAAGAGTGTAATAAGGCAATGACTGTTTTATTTTCATTGAGGAGTGTCTGAAGCTGTGTCTGGAGAATTACCACGTCGTTTGAGACTGTACGTTCAGGGAAGTCGGCATCATCTGTATTCGAGCAGGTTGGCAAGACTGGATGAATGACCGGCCATCCTGAATCAAGAAGCTTCTTCTCGAACTCCTCATAAAATTCAGGTGTCTGGTAAGCTCCCTGGACAACAAATAAAGTTGGCTTAGAATCCATGGCTTTCTCAATGGGTTATTCGTGGAGAGACTGACGACAGGTTGCACTACCCATTTCAGACAAACCGTTGAGGTCCGCACGATACCTGGCGTCAGCATATTAAGAAGGAACTATCTCACTATGGGTGATTTTGATTGGATGGGTGGAGTTAAAGGATGTAGCGTCACTCTCCAACGAATCCTTCGCTATCAGCATTGGTACACGTAACTCTGGAAGACACCATTTGAAATACCGCATCTGTTATCAGAAAAACTATAATACAATCCTAGGGCAAGTCCCAGTTCCATGCAAACTTAGCGTTGCAGGTGGCCACATTGGTAGTTGTATCGACTATCAACGAGGAATCGCCCGAGCAATCCACAAGCACTCCTCCGTCTTCAGACTCGGGTTTCTCGGCTCACACCATATGCCCCATACAGGGATAGAAAGATTTGAGACCCAGCACAACTAACCCTTGCAACCCCTGCAACGAGATTTTAGTATGCCTTCTTGATTGATAATTCCAGAAACACGAGTCTTAGGTCAATAACAAACGAGCTGTAGTAGAACTGGGCTCACGGGGCTCAATTGTCGGGTCCAGGGATTTTTACCATGATAGGCCTCAATCAACGCCTTAAACATGCTCAACGAGTTCTCTGCATAGCAGATGCATGCCGTGACTCAAGACAAGTCTCAATGTAACTCGGCTGCGAGAAATATATATTGGAACTCATCTCACATCTGTACGTTAGAGGTTCTGCAGAAATGCCTTGAATCAAGTAATATTTTAACGTACAAACGTCACATAGTCAACCCACCCTACGTGAATCTGTCCTCCACTTGTTAGCCCGAGTTCTCATCAAGGGATTGCCTTGCCAGCCTGAGCAGCTGCACCGGCAAGACTGTGTCCCTCGTTCTGTAAAAAAGTTTGATTGAATTTGATGTAGTTCTCTGGCTTCCCATAGTGTTAGCTCATGGTAATGGCCGTGGCTGGACTTGATACTTACACTAGCAGTAGCTTTCACAGAGGGGCGACTCTCTAGGAGAGTCGCCCACTCATCTCATCCCGTTACATCTTCTCGACTAAAACTTCGAAACTCCTGAGCAATAAAGTCTCGGGCGGCCCACGGGGCGATCGCTAGGTCAACAAGCGATATTTGCTCGCCAAAGAAGTATGGTCCCTTTCGTTCCTTACAGATAGTGGCCAATGCATTCTTGAAGTCGATCAGCGTAGTGGCCTGTCTTTCTGGCTCACTAGGCTGAGCTTGGAGTAGGCGAAACCACGCAGGCACAACGGCTTTATTGATGTAATCGATCCATACCCTGGCTGTGGCTTTATCATAGGAGTTGGTCGGGAGCAAATTAGGAGAGGACGGGAATTCATTCTCAAGAAACTCGTTGACAATCGTAGAATCATGAAGAGGTCGGCCTTCGAATTGCAAACCCGGCGTCAGGCCCTTCGGGCTGATAGCTATATTTCTTTGTTAGACTCAAAGTAAAATTGTGGTTCAACAAAGCAGGACGCCAACATACCCAGAAACGAACCTTCCTTCAGGTAGGGGTTTACTTCTTTATACTGGTACTCGATACCTTTCTCTTCGAGAGCAGCCTATGTTCATTAGGTGAAAGGGCAGAACCAGCCTCCCCATATGATAATGTCCGCAGGCGTTTGATGATCTGTCACGGTCTTCGCAGCATCTCCTGTAGCTACTGAATGAAACTTGGGAATTTGGGCGGACATGATTGAGACCTGATTAGGAACAGGCTAAACTATACGAGTGATAATATTACATTCATAGCCAGAACTTCTTCTATTCAGTTTGTTTTGGTAACCCTAAATATCATTTCTCCCTCTCGAGTCCTATGTTGGTGTTGCGGTGATTTGCCGCTTACACTCGGGAATGAATAGGGGATGCAACAAGGGCGTGTAAGTCCAATCTCATATCCCGCGAGCAAACCCCGAGGGCGTACAAGCATTTACCGCATCACCCAACCAAAGCTACGCTAGGACGTCAACAGAAACCACCGGAGATGCACTACTCCCAGCAACACCAAGCGCTGGAAGCACGGAGAAGCAAACCTGAGGCAGTTTTCACATCATCGATTGCATCTCGGTCCTGTTTCGGTAGGCTCAGATATGCTTGCGCCCTTCACTAGTTGGAATCACTGGAATTTCGGAGGTGTAGGGCCACGTCGGGAATGATTCCACCTCGGCGTTGACTGACTTGACGATCGTCCGGCACAGTCTCGCATGGCATGCTCACTCGAGAAGAAGCTGTGAAGGGGCTTTAGTGATGAACATATTAAGACCTGATGCGTATAATTATTGGTCGACGACCCATTCAAGGGAAATTCGAAATACCCGTAAAACAGATACAGTCAACACTCAAGTGAAGTCATAGAAACGTTCGAAAAATCCGACAAACGAAAACACGCCTCTTTCACTTATTCATCGAAAATGCCTTCTGGAAACTGTCTTTGTAGCAACATTGCCTTCGAGTATTCGGGTATGTTACTTCCCAGTTTACGAACTTGCTTGATGAGAATATCAAATGCGGAAGTACTAACAGCGTTGTTGAATATAGCCGAGCCAGCGGTGACTGCACTCTGCCATTGTGTCGAGTGCCAGCGATGGGGCGGCGGTTACAGCTCCAACGTAGCCATCCCCACTTCAGAGTTCAGGATCACCAAGGGAACTCCTCGACAGTTTATTCGCAAGGGTGCCTCTGGCCTGAATCATCCTCATTTCTTCTGCAGTGGTGAGTAAAGAGTCTACCTTTTCGTTTCATGTGTAATCTCCCCGGCGGATCGCTAATATAAATTGCTGTTTATCAGACTGCGGAACGAGCCTCTTCTCTCAGCCCGAGGCAATGGCTGGGACGACCTTGATCAAAGCTGGATCTCTCAACGATGGTGCTTCAGACATCTCCATCAAAGTTGAATTCTTCACCAAGGACCGGCGCAACTATGACACCCCCGTCCGCGGTGCCCAGCAGAACACAGCCATGTCTTAGATGCTTTTAAGTCATGATCTCGAAGATCCGTCCTTGTGGGTAGAAGAAAACAATTGTCACTTAGCCTGGAACTCCACAAGCGACTGATGGAGAGGTCTTACATTTCAACAAAGGTGCCGATATTCCCATTACTTGGCAAGAAACTTTCTTTCCTTTTTAGGCCTTTTGGGAATGCACATTCCTTAAAAGGTGGATGATCAGTAATCGTTGGAATTGATAGAAGAAAATGAGATAAACACGTAAACTATCTTTTATTCATTTGTGATTATATAAACTATGGTGCTCTATAAGACCTTCGTAAGGGACGATTGTCCCATGAGTTCAGGTTTGCGGGTGACTCGCTTGTCTGGTGAAGCCTGCAAATGTCGAACTAGCGTTGATTCCGTCGTCATGAATTGTCTCTATAGATAACCAGACGTTTCAAATCTGAAAACTGGTACGGCTTCTCATGTGCATGACACTTACAGTG